CTCAGGCAGGAAACTCAAGACGTACAACATCGCTCCTTAATATATTCACATCAAACTCTCAGGGTATGAATACACCACACACTAAAACGAAACGCTTTGGTGGTACTTCAAACTTCAAATTGCAACAAGTGAAATCCTTTTGTTCACATTACTTATATATATAAATTTTTTTTTTAATAATTGTTTATAATAAAAGCAAACAATTTTATTGGTGTTGGCTAGGTTTTAGGATGGAATGTTTTTTTAAATGCGATAAATGTTTTAAAATTGCACCAAAAGTGTATTTAAGCTTATATTTTACCAAACTTATCTGTTTTACTTTTCAGGTTTATTCATTTTAATTTTATATTTTCCAAAAACTCCACAAAGTCTACAAATCTCTAAGAATTCTTTTTGCATGTCCACGGAACTTTTTCTTTTCTCCTTACTCTGTTCAATTTCGGTGGTGTATCGATTGTTACATATATTTTAAAAAAATATGTTTTTCATACTAGAATATTGTACATTAAAAACTTTTGCAGCATGTTTCATATAATCATTTAATTGCACATCTATTTTATCATATATAATATATACATATATAACTGGAACTGTTTAATATATACTAAAATTCATAAAACTCTGTACCTCATCCATCAAAGCGCCAATTCATTGTACCTAAAACAAAAAACTAACAATGCATCTGCACAATAGATATTTTTGACAAAGTCCATTAATTTATCTAAAAAATTAATACTTTCAGTGTCTGGGATTTTACGTAGTCGGCGAGATAAAACGAAAACGAAAAAGTCTAAAAAAAAGAAAGATGGCGAGGCTGCTGAAAATATACAAGAGGAACGTCTGGCAAGGTATGTATTCATAAATTGTATAAGTTTAAAAGAAATATAAGATAAAACGCAAGAGATTATATGAATAAAAATATGTTAGTGTGGGTGAAAAATGATCAATGAAGCATGGACTACTCCAGACTTTAAGAAGTACGGATACTTGAATTTCATAGATAGTTTCAAGGCATGCTAATTGATGTAAAAAACTTTAGTTGAAGATAGCCCAATTCCAGCCCGAGAAACCACTGGGCCATTTCATTAAAACGGAAAATATTTTTTATGCATACGTTTGGAAATACCGAAAGACAAATGAGGACTGAAGAACATAGAATGAACAGATAGACATACCATATGAGTTGCACTTGTTATTTAAAGAAGCTGCTATCTTGTTGGCATGTCTAACTATTATTTTTGAAAGTACGAAAAATACATTGCAATAGTGTGATGAAGAAGACCTAAGAATTAGGTTAGATTAGGTTTAAAGTTGGATCTGTGACAAAATTCATGTTGATAGTGAATGAGTGCTACATTACTCAAGATCGCTTCTTATGAAATGTTCCTTTTCCTATTCGTTTGGTTTTCTTATACAGTCAGCTTGTAGGTGGGTCATTTATATGGCTCTTTATATTTTCTCTATTCAGAGTACTTTATGCCGTCAAAGTAAATAAAGCTAACGATATCTACCAAGATTGATATTAATGGAAATCAACTTTGACCTACATACAGTTGGCATTTATATTTCTATAACCCGGAACCCATAGCAGGTTAACCATTGAATAAATCAGAGATGGCTGTGCATACAACGATTTATGACATTTCGATAAAGTTTGAGTTATGAAAGCACCAGCTAGGGACATAATAACCTTTTTTCTGCCACTAAAAACTAAAATATTCGTACCAAATATTTTTTTATGAAGAATCGATTTAATTCCGAAGTGGATAGTAGTCATTTCTACCTAGAAAATGCTGCATGATTATGCTAAAAACATTTTTTTCCGTTCAACACATTTTTCGAAATTTTCATCCCGATTAAATCAATTGTTGTGAAATAAACACTTTATATAATATTTTTCTTCGAATAAATAGCGTTGATCGTGCTAATAATTCTTTGGATCATGAAGAACATGGCAAAATGAAAACTCAAAATTCTAGTGGTAGCAGTGCTGGAGGTTTGGGTGTATCATCTGCTTCAGCACCTGGAAGTGTGGATTCAACTGGTGGCAATGGTATTGGTGGTTTAACCGCTTTGAATGCTTCTTCAGCAATAAACTCTAACAGTGCTGCAAATAATAGTGGTAATGGAGTAAATGGTGCCGCTGGAACATCTGCAAGTGGGAACTCCTATGGTGCCAATGAGGTGGATGAAGATGGATATAGCATGCAACCGCCAAAAGAAATTGCTTGGGAAGAGAATCACGATAATGGTAAGAAAATCAGATTTAAGTGAATTGATATATATTCCCTTGTTTTTCCATTGTAGCTGGTAGTTTCTACTCTGATTCAGACTCAGATTCAGATAACGATAAACGCGATCGTCGTATACATGTGAAAATCAAACCTCTAAACAATGGTCAGGCGCCAATGTCAGCAAGTGTTGATGAGCTACGTGCGACCGTTGAGAATATATCGCTATCACCAACTGGTGTGTTTTCGGTAAGCAAAGAATGAGTTATAAAAATTATATATATTTTTTTTAACAATTTAATTTATAATAATTTATATTATTATTTTAATTTTAAATAAACAGCATAGTCAGCAACTGCAACATTCACGTGTCGCGTCACGTCAACAATCGCCAGAAATGATATCGAATGCCTCTACACCAACAGCCACCGTGCATCCTTACGCACCTTTGCAAAGTCCAACTTTGTCAATGTCGCATAATTCAAAGTAAGTATTTTAGAAAGCTACTGTAATATTTTGTATTTATATTGAGAGTTATGGTTTGTTGATATTATTTTATTCCTATTCATTGACATGAAAGGATATAAAGATATTTTATTATTTTTTTTTAGATAAAATAAAATATTTTATTAGATTATTTTATTTTAGATAAAATAGATTATTTTATTTTAGATAAAATAAATTATTTTATTTTAGATAAAATAAATTATTTTATTTTAGATAAAATAAATTATTTTATTTTAGATAAAATAGATTATTTTATTTTAGATAAAATAGATTTTTTTTTGATAAAATAGATTATTTTATTTTAGATAAAATAGATTATTTTATTTTAGATAAAATAGATTATTTTATTTTAGATAAAATAATTTATTTTATTCCTATTCATTGGTAAAAATGGATATAAAGATATAAATTATATTAATTTTGTATTGAAATAGTTATTAAAATAGTTTCTTAGAATACAAATAATGAATAATTCTTCAACATTTTTATTCATACAATTTTAAAGATATGCTGACCTGGGTGATATATTTTCTGAATTGGGCGATGTAAGTGCCTCAGCGCCAGCTTCTGCTACGCTTTCAAAATCAACGGCGCGACAAATACCAACCCCAACATCAGCCAGTAACATTGCTATACCCCGTCCACCATCAAGACGTTCAGAGATGGTAACATCAGGTGGTGTTACGGGTGGTGTTGGAGGTGCTCGTGGGCGTATTAGTCCATCACCTATGAATCGTGCCGATAGTATTGGTAGCTTAGAGTTTCGTACAGCTATTGGAGGCATTGGGTCATCTCGCGGTCCTTCACCACTTACAATTGGCATTACAGATACCATACCTTTGGCTGTTGCATTCCATGAGATTATACATGCTTATTTTCGGTAAGTACTTAATAATTAATTAACATATAAATTTTTATTTTAAAATTAAAAAACACGATCATTTATTTTTTTAAACAGTGGCAGCGATGAATCACGTTGTCAAGTTAAAATATCCGGTGATATGATGCTATCATTCCCTGCTGGTATTGCCGGTCATCTAGCGAATAATCCCAATCCAGCCAAATTGGGATTTCGTATGAAAAATGTGCAACATTTGGAAAATTTCATTCCAAATGGCAAATTAGTTCAAATGTTAGTTTTGTATTACTTTATTTGCTAATAATTTATTTATAAATAATTATTTATTTTAGTGACAAAAACCTGTCAAGTTCTTATAGTACAATGTTGGAGTTTAATATGCCAGCACTGACTGCATTGCTCAGACGTCAAGCTGAACACAATCCAACTGCGTCCTATTTTAATGTGGACATTTTAAAGTATCAAGTGCGTACTAAGCCTGGTGCTTCCTCATGTCCATTTCAACTCGTAAGCTATTGGAAATGTGAACCCACCTTTACTGCCTTAAAAATTGATTATAAATATAATAACCATGCCATGGCCAGCGCATCGCCACTTTTGAATGTAACACTGTCCGTACCTGTTAATGGACAAGTGCGGAATGTACAATCAAAACCGCACTCAGCATGGTAAGTTTTTTTTTAACTTAGATCTAAAATTTAATTAATTTAACAATTTAATTCGATTCAAATAAAATTAAAATTTTAATTTTTAATTAATTTTTAGTGTCAATTTACTTATTTTATTTTGTTAGATTTTAAATTATTTAACATGAGAATTCTGAAAAGTCTCTGGAAGTTAGAGTTCGCGTCAATGTTGATAAAATTACTATATTATAGCCTTAAAAAATTGTTGTTGCTCTGTAAACATATATTCTTCGAATAAGTGGTAGATGGTGCCTACCGCACGAATATAAGCAATAGTTTCTTAAAATCTTGTAACTTGTTTAAATTACTGCAAAGGTGAATAAACGACACATACCTAAGTTCTAGTTTCTTGGTAGAAACTGATCTAATTTCGTTTATTTCATATTAGCATGTCATATTTCTAATGATTAACTTCGAATTGATCCCATTTATATTAAATGTACACTTATTAAAAATATATTTTTTTTTTATTTTTTGCATTCCGGAAGTTTATTAAAAATTAAATTATTGTTAAATAATTGTAACAATATTCCTTAATCTGAATCTGCCCTCAGCTCAACAATTTTTCTTTTATACCACCGTTTGATTTTTAAGATTCTTCTCCTAACCTTTTAAAATCATCTTAAGTTACAACAACTCAGGTACATATATATATTATTATGTATATATATGTTATATATATATATTATTATGTATGTATTATATTTATATATAAATATATATATTATTCTGTAACATTTTAATCAACAGGAAATTTATTATTTCCAAGTTGAAACTTTTTTATTTACTACTAATGGAACCACTGACAAATTATGATGGACATCAAAATTCATAGAAAATCTGTATTCTTTATTTATTAAATAATGGGCTATGAATGCACCCCGACCTAAAAGATCTATATTGTGCGTCTAAAAATCCAACTAAAACAATTCTAGATTATGAATAAATCTCGTAATTGTTGTGGGCTTAATTTTATCTTTTTGATTTGGGACCAAGTAGTCAAGTCTACGTCGTTCCGCCGCTGGGCAGTTATATATAACATATTCTGATGTTTCTTTCTTCATATGACTATATATCTAAATTTTAAAAATATATTAACTTAATATTAATAATTAATTAGTTTACATCTGTGCATCTTAGTTTACATCATTTCAATTGTTATTATTATTATTAAATTATATAGGCTTGGAGAATCTAATCGTTTGGTGTGGAATTTTACCGATATATCACAAAATTCACAGGATGGTGGAGTTGGCACTTTACGTGCTCGGCTGGAACTGAATGATGGGCCATCAACGCCGGCTTTACTTACAACACAATTCAACTGTGAAGGTACGACATTATCTGGAATTGAGTTTGAGTTACAAGGAAGTGGATATCGTTTATCTTTAGTTAAACGAAGATTTGTTTCAGGTTAGTATCATGATGAAATAGTTAAATACATTTTAATGATTATGAATTTAATTATAGGCAAATATGTATGCGAAGGAGATGGAGTGCGTAGTGGGGCTACACCTACACCACCATCAGTTGGTTCGACTAGTCCATTTTCAGCAAAATCTAATTAATCGAACCTCTAACAAGAAACCGAAATGAAGAGAAATTAATAAGAAAAAGGCTAGAAATGATTAATGAATTAGTAGTGCACATATAAATTTTAAACTTATAGTGAATCAATCTTAAAGCATTTCAACATAAAACGATTTCTATATCGCGAAAAAAGCAAATTGAAACTATTGTCATAATTTTCATCAATGCGTATAGGCTCGTGAATATAGCAAAAATGTTAAAAATTAAAACTAAAGTAAATAGTTTATTGTCGAACAAATTAATGTTTAATTAATTAATATCATTTATATTTTTTAGTTATATATGTAAATGTACGTGTTTATTTTTTTGAAAGCTTTAAAACTTCTCTACGATTCCAACCACATTCTGACTTAGTTTAAGTAATTCTGCTAAATTCGTATAAAAGTAAATAAATATATATATATATATTATAATTGTTATGTCGTAAGAGTACACAACATTAGTAGCATAAGTGTTGATTTTATGTTTTGTTAAAAACAACTGAAAATGTTGTCTAAAAGTTATGTAAAATTATATACAACATATACTCACTCATATTGAAAATAAATAGATTTGCTACAAGAAAAGGACACCAAAAATCCGCTTAAATTTTAAATTTTATGTATATTTGCAATGCAAAATAATGCATTTCTTTCTGTTAAGATTCTTATTTACTTTCAAAAAGTATTAACTTATGCTCATTTAACAATTTAACGATTTATTTATTAAATGTTAAACTTGTCGCTTATTTTACTCTTTATATATTTGCTCTATGTTATATATTAATCTAATAATAATATTTATGTTAATTATGTGTATGCTGCTTATTATCTTATAGTTTGTAAATGTGTGAATAATATATATTTATACATAAAAGAGTATATTCTCAAATATATTTATTTATTTGCGAGTTCTTTATGTTTTCAAGATAAGTCTGTCCGTCAGGTTTTATTATAAAATAAAATGGATTAATTTTCTTTGAAAATATTAATTTGCTATGCTACCGCAACAATATTTTGTTCTAACCGAAATAAAAAAAATAAAACGAATATAAAAAACTGTAATATTATATATAAAAATTGTACAGTAATTAACATACACTGAAGAGAATAGTTAGTATCTAATATGCTTATATTCAACCGCAGCGAACCTTTCGAAAATCGTTTTGTATAAGACACAACGAAAATAAATTAAACTTAAAATAGATATAAGGTGACTTGACGTCTTCACTGGTTGCATTTTGGTTCGAAAACGAATACGTACTATTTTCTATTCTATTTCTATACTATTCTATCTGCAAATGAAATTTTATGTGCTAAGCCTAGTATTTGCATCCATTTCGCATAAAAGATTGACATAAAACTCTATATAAAAAAAATTTCTACAAAATTTTAACATTATAGAAAATTAATTTTATATGGAGTTTCAAATTAGGGACTGGATTAGGGTAGCTCGAATAATTTTCAACAACTCAAACATTTAAAATGTTCAATCTAAATGCTTTGAAATACTCAGAATTTTCAAGTACTAATTTAAATACAATGCAGTTATTGTAAAAGAAAAAGATTCATCGATGATGATAAGCATTATCGCTTAACATATCAATTTTGACAATTTGGTCTAAGCCACTCGCCAAAATCAGTGGATAAGCACTGTCTCCTTTCGTTTGTTTTATTGTTCATTTCATTTGTTTGTCGTTCAGATTCGGATAGATTACAAAATAACAACCAAGTAATGCTCCCAAAACAACCAGATCTCGCAGGAGAGCGGACAAAAATGGGTTTCTAAAGTATTTGTGGAATTCCCATCAAATGCAAAAGGAAGAAGAAAAGGCATGGTCTCTTTAACTTAAAATATATAAATATTTTACAATAGTTTTCAATTTTGATTTTTAAATTATTTTAAACCATATTTTTAAAAATATCAAAGTAAAAATTTAAAATTTATAACTTTGCCTCATAACTAGAAGACGACTCAAGTAAATATTTTATACATATTAAAACTCATAGAAATTGTATGCAAAGTAGGGATATATATATAATATTATATTTTTAGGTTATGTTGAGCTGATTGGCATTGAAGTATTACGCAAAGACCCATTGCTACCGCATTATATTCAACAGGTCTGTATCTAGAACTGTGAACACAGTTTCCTTTAGGACTGCTGTACAATATTTGCGAGCACTTGGACTTCTGTTCCTGTTGACTTTTTATTATCAGATCTTATCTTAATTCATTTATTTCCTTGTGGAGCATAGCGCCTCAGATACACTGTTAGTATTTTGGATATAAAGATTTAAAAGTTAATATCAAATCAGCAAAAGTCGTGCGATTTAATTACAGTTTATGATCTCTTTGTTAATAGTTTTTATATAGGGTGGACACAAATTTCAAAGTAAACTCTAGATATAGTTTACATAAACTTTAAACTCAAAAGAATGCGGTTGTCAAAAGAAGATGTACATATATTACTTCAGAAGTGGTATTCACATATGTATTAAGTTCTTATTGTTGCCTATTACTGTATAACGGACTCTCTTAGTAAAGCAGATTCACCTTTTGATAGAATTGGAATGTCAGGAAAAATAATGTAAGGAGATAGCAAAGCGAGTTAAAGAGTTGGATAATTGGTAACATGGATTAAAATGAGTACACATGTTTTTATGGACTGTAAGTTGTTGGTTCATACTTCGGAAGATAGCAAACTTATTGTGATTATATCTACTCAAATCTGGCTGTATTTCTTTCTTTCCATATACTTTATTCCTGTTGAAAATGGTGTTGAAGGAGATCAATTATAAAGTAAACTATTTCTAATTAATTTGTACATTATACATTTTAAAGTTTATTTTTTTTAAATATTACTTTTAAATCTGTTAAAGCTGCTTCCATTCTTCTTCTAATCACAATGATTTTAAATGTATAATTATTTAATTTTATTATTTTTGACCGGTCATGCCTGGTACACGATACAAAAACTCTCCATCGTCATCGTAGTAGCAATCTTCGACTTTAAATGTAGCTCCTTTACGCCACAGCTTTCGTGGTATGTATATGCGTTCTTTAATCGTAAACATCTCGAAACGTTGACGATCCTCGGGGCTAACGACAATTTCACTACTCTCAAATTTTTGAACGTAATTGAAGTCAGAAGTGCTGCTTTCGCTTGTTCCGGTGACAGCTGATGATGGTGTGTTATGAGGTAATATACCCGTGCCACTAGTGTTATCCAAGTATTCAGCAGCTTTTTTCTCTAACTCAGTGTTTTCATTTTCCATAGCTTGACTCAATTCGTAAGGACTTAACTTTTTTTGCTTCAGTTCATGTATGCGCATATAACGCTTGTCCTTTACCGTATCCATTAGGTATGTTTCATCTTCCGCTTCTTTTTGTAATTCATTGAAATTCTTAAATTTATTTTCTTTTGGAGCATTCAACTGTGGTACTGGCGGTTCAGGTTCCTTTTCTGCATATTTATGACAAGTTGTAATAATGGACACAAATTCGTTACCTTTGGGTTTAGGTATTTCTAACCGTGTTGGTATATTATCGTAAGTGTCGATTAAATCTGCTGGTTTTCTGTTTACGAATTTTTTTAAGTGTTCTCTCAATTCAGCGGGTAATTTTTGCATTTCCTCTTTGTTAGCACGCAATTGTTCCCAATTTCGTATCACTGCTTCATCATGTTCGCGTATGCGTTTGGTACTTCTGGGTCGCCATTTTGCACTCAATATTTTTTTAATAATGTCCTCAGTTGCTGGAAAACTTTCAGTCAAACGTTCGACTGACCATTCCTCAGGATCGCGTGTATGCAACAGACGTATTTGTTCTTTTTCGGCATATGTTAGCAAATTTGGCAATTTTTGTTCACGGAAATATTTATGCTTTACCATTAAATGTCGTACATGTTCACGTTGTTGTTTCATCTCCTCTTCATGTTGCCGATGCGTCTTGTGCACTTCATAAAAATCGGATTCCATATTTTCAAAATCTTCCGGATCATCGGTTAGGTGCTGGTCAACGTCTAATTCAAGTTGATGACCTATGCCTGGATTCGCTTTCCGTCGTGAAAGGTTTGTGATACCTTTGTGCAAAGTGCGTATAATTATGCTTCTTGAAAACATTTTAAAATTTATTATTTGTTTACTGTTTATGTTTTATAATAAGAACGTGTGCTGTCCACACTTTATTTCATATGTGCTAACAGCTGATTGCGGTGAATACTTCGTTTTTTGTGCGGCGAGTTTCGCAACTACACAGGGCTGTTATAAATATCTCTTCGTCGTCGTTTAATACTGGATTCACACGAGAGTATTATTTGTAATTGTAGCAATCAGTTGTTGTTACTTTCAATGCATAATAAAAAGTTTTGACGGCTAAAATTACAAACAAAACTCTCGTGTGAATCCAGTGTAAGGCAATAAAACAATTGGTGTGTTGAAAAGTGTTTTCTTCATAGTCCAAATATAGTGTGATGTTTTTCTTGATAATTATGGATAGTTGATATAGGTGCACTTGTTTTGCTATTTTGTCATTCGGAGTTTGTAGATGTGTTGGCATTATCCATGTTGGATAATGTCAACACCACCAACAGTTCCTTTGAACTTTGTTTCTCTTATTTGTTTATTTTTTTCTGGTTTAGTTGTTACTATTATTGTCTTTTATTTTCATACTTTCATAGATGTTTAATTTTATTCCAAATTATTCGTCTTATCATTTATTAACTAGCTATTAAATAAATAGGTTTCGAAAAGTAGTGAACTACAACAAGTATCGAGTATTGTCAAATATTCATCATTAGTGATCTTGGAAATATTTCTTGTATTTAATTATTCGTAAATTATTTTTTGGGACTGCAAGTACTAGGGATCGAATTCGTGCCCTGCCAAACTGGAAGCTCAGAGTCAGCGTTCATTAACCCAATAATATAAATTTATGTTATATGATATATACGTTTTAAAAAAAATTATTATTTGTTAAATTTGTGAACTACAATATTTAAGTGAACGAAAAGTTGTGTTTATACTTTTAATTTAATTTATATAGTTATTTAACGTTTCGAAATTTATTTGAGTTCTTCTTTAGAGCAGAGTATTATAGAATTGCACTTGTAAATTATTGTACTTATTATAAGTACTTATATATAATATTATTAAAAGTTTGAACTAAATACTGTTGCAATTATTTGTTACATTTCACTATTATTTTGTAACTAAAAACTGAGTATAAGAAGATCAATTGAGAATAAACGACTAATAATCTATTCACATAGTACCAGCATTCGTAATTTTGATTGTCGTATTGGTCATTGAACTCATTTCGCTTTAAACCTGTTCACACAGCACATCTTAATTTTGTTTCTTATTTCGGTAGTTTGAGTTATATATAAAAATGTTGCAGCAATATTCTTCATTGATATGTCATAATTTATGAATATTATTCATATTATTGTGAATTATTAATGAACTTAATTTCAATTTGATTTTGTGCAAATTACAATTCAATTGTAATTTTTGCGATGTTGGATTTTTCTTTCGAATCATATTGTAGTGACAAATATGATTTTGTGATGAAGAGGTTAACGGTCTTAAATAGCAAAATCCCAATTACCTGTGCTGTGTGAATAGGCTCTGTCATTTGAGAAGCAAATGGAAAAACTTCAGGAAATAATAAATTACAAGTTAAAATGAAAATCTTACGACTGCTATCGGAATTAAAAAGATTTAATAGATTTTAGAACACACTGTATCGCTTTAAAGACGTTTTGAAAAAACAACTATTTATGTTGGATTACACTTGAAACAGAATCAAGTGTTAATAATGTGGACATAATCCTACATTAGAAGACAATCTGTTAATGATCATGAGAACTGAACTGAGCCTGTAGAATTGTATTAATCTGCTAATACTAGGTCTGTTTCACAGCTACTCGTAGTAACTTTAAGTAACACTGTGTATACACAAATGCATTCCACCAATAAATTTTCGTGTAAATTTTACTTGTGTTTCACTTGAGTTTTACTACGAGTAGCTAATGGATCAGACCTAATGTGTATGTAACTCTACTTTAATAGACTCTCTGTTACTGTTTATGGGAACAATAGGTACAATAGGTTTTTTCTGGCCGTAGTACCGGCTGTTGGGCAATTTTCACGTCTACTCTCTTAATAATAATACTGTTTATGGGAATAGAACAAAGAAATGCATTTGAGACTTGAGTGTGTCAAATATATAAAATTATTGGCTTAAATTATATATAAATTATAAACTATAGTAGAAAATTATGGTAAATGTGATCGCTGAAGTTCTTTTTAAATAATACGCAAAATAAAATATAATAACTTTAATATATATTATATGTACAAAATGTCAATATTCAGCTCTTTTTAGATAAATCTAAACTAAATAATATATCGTAGAAATAATAAAAAATCTTAAAAAGCCTGAGCTATTAAATCAGCACCAGAAATAATGGAGTCAGAGGCCGCAACTATGTGTGCACCACTCAATTTTCCAATCAACTCACAAGCACCAATCTCTGCATAAGTAATACCACCAACTACGTAGATAAATATCTTAGGTTTACGTAAAGGAAACCAATCCTTTATCTCATTCAATTTGACAGCATTGCCATAGGATTTTATATTAAGCGGAGCTGTGTAGGAATTTGTTTTCGTGTCGAAGGCTAATAGATTTATTTTATCCATCATACCCAATTTATTGGCAAAATCATCTGCAGTTGTGGTTTTTAGAAGCAATGAACACAATTGTGCTACTAAAGGTATGTAATTATTATTGAAGACGTAACTCGGACAAGATGCAGCATTTACTGGATTATTTGCTGCATCGACGCCAGCTACAGAAGTCAGTAATTTCATGCGATTAGCGTTGGCTTGAAATTCTGTCTGCTGGAATTTCGGTATAGGCAAATTAGAGAGCAATTTTGTTGACTTATTGACCTTCTCCTCGTCCACGAGTGCAGGTAACAGTCCACCATTTGCAAGTGCATCGAAGACATACAAATATTTCGCACCAAAGTAGTTGCAATAGTTACGCATAAATTGCTGCAGTTCATCTGTGTTGACGCCAGCGCATAGATGCAGCAAGCAAAATAGGCGTAGTGTGTTGTATCGCTGGCCATTGAAAGTAAGTTGAAAATCAATTTCCTCAAATAGTCGCTTGCGTGAGACATTATTTAAAATATTCTCTTCTAGTGTTTGTAACTTCCGAAAGCTCTTCGCCAGCATTTCTATGATTTTCTCACTCGCATTTAAATGGCGCATAACTTTGATTTTTAGTTCATTTACCTTAGGCAACTTTCGTGCGACGTAATCGTGCATTTCATCCAACTTCATGTCGTTTAGTTTTTGTACTTCTAAGCCAATGGCTTTGGCCTGTGCGCGTACCAGACTTATAGCCTGTGCAAAATGTTTGTAACGATTTTCGCCATAAATTTCGTCATATACAGATTTCAAACGTATTATTGTTGGCTTTTCGTTGGGTTTTTCATTTGTTGTAGAGTTTTTAACTGGCAGCTCTAATATTTCCAGTTTTTGTTGCAATATCTTATTTGTATTTTGTTCCAAAACCACTTCGCTAGTTCTGTTATTGAACACTTCCAATAAAAGTCCAGAGTAAATGGCAGGTGTCAGTAGGCTTGAAGCATAATCCTTATCACGATCAACTATAATCAATGCAGAAAATTCCGCAGAAGGCACTTGAGTAGTTTCATTTTCTTTGAAGCAATGGGGCAAAGCATCAAACATTTTTAAAATGTTATTTGAATGCTCGCCGTATGTTAAAATAAGATCTGGACGACCACAAACAATTTGCAACAAACGCAAACTTTGTGCTATTGCAGGTAATGGCGAAGTATCATTATGCAGAAATAAATCACAAAAAACCTACAACAAAAAAAAAAACTTAATAAAAAAATTATAAAAAGAAAAAAACAAAAAAATAATTACCTTTGGATGTTCTAAACTAAGCACACCATCGTCTATATATATAAAGTCCCAATTATAACGATGCAATTGCACTAAACCATAGAGTCCTTTCTCCTCTAAAAGCATTGGATAATACGCATAACAACTTGGTATGCATATGATATGAAATGGTTTTATTGTATTATCCAAATTTTTAAAAGCATTATTCATTTGATGTTCCTGTACATGGCGTAGTGCTGCTTGAAAGGTGCACAAATCGCCTCTTAACATAAACACTTGCACATGATCCGATGCATAGGGAATAATGATTTGAGTATCAAATCTATAAATCTTTTGTATGCCTTTAAGTCTGAAAATATGTAGATAAATTGAAATACAATAAATTAATATAATATTAATATGCGTTTATACTTCAGCCAAGATGCATTACAAACATGCTCTAGTGGTTTGATTACAGTGGGTGATATGATTAAATCTTTTTTGCCTGGTATAGAGCAAAGTATCGCTTGTAACTTTTCCTGTGCAATCAATTGGAATCCTTGTAATTTTTTATCAAACGAATCCATGTCAATCCTTTACGTTACGTACTAAACATACTACTTTACAGCTTCTTGTCCACTTTATGTTAACAAGTTATTGTTGTTAGACCAATAAATATAACAAATTCAAAAAAATACTGATTTTATGAATATATTTTCAATAAAAATAATTTAATGGAATTATTTGCTTCACTTGTTTACCAATTTTAGTTTACAACGTCTTTACAGGTGTTCAAATGTCACAGACAGCTGTTAATGTTTACGGCGAAATTAGAGTGTAATATAAAAAGATTGCCAATCACATTTTTTCTCTGCTTTCATTGTGTTTAATATGAGTAGTACTTTTACACACACGCACTAAACTTGACAAATGTGCAGTGAAAGAGTAAAATCTTTATAAAAATAATCAGCACAGGCTATTATTAAGCCAGTGCTTTAAGTTTATATGCTGCATCAGCGGTATCGACATATTTACAGTTTCTACATCGATTACGAGTTGGTTGGTGAGATAAGAGTATAAGAAGTTCCTGATAGTATAACCTTTGACTTTATTTTTTTAATAATAATTTCTTTAATATACTATTGTAACAATAATTTTTACTACGAATTAGTTAATATGAAAAGTTGATATGAAAATGAAAACTTATTATTTAATTGTATCTTTTTTTCGGTATTCAAATGGCACATCAGCTTTTGATTACATTATTATAGTTCATATTATAGTAGTTTAAGTTCTGAATATATTTTCTACCTTCTACAGACTGAAAAATGTTCAGACTCCAAATTTGTCATGACTTTGTTGCATCTTTACAAATTTTTATTTTACATTTGTTTGATTTATATATTATATTTAAAAGTAGTTAAAAGAAGTTAAAATGATACATAAAAAAATATGATTATACAATAGTAAATATATTTTTCTGATAATATTTTTAAAGTTTCTCATAATAAGATATGTTCATGAAAAGCAAATAAATTTTTTTACATGGGATATATCAAAATGATAAAATTAGAGTAATTTAATGATAGGATCCAATGCCCTTCTAAAGTATGGTTTATTTATATTTTGTTTATTTTGCTACTTATAGCGTAATTTAAATACTTGTTTAACATATTGTATATAATCATTAAGTAATAGTATTTATTCATGCACTAAGGTTTTTTCTGTTGTTTTCTAATACTGGATCCATAAGAGAGTTTTATTCGTTATTTTATCTGTCAAAAATTTTATTTTGCATTGAAAGCACCAAAAATTAACAGATGAAATTATAAACATGACAGTTAAATTTACAAACAAAATTCTCATGTACATCTGGTAAAAAATATTTATTGCTGCTTATTTAAATTAATTATTTATAGTATTTGTTATTATAATAAATTAAAATTCTTATACTTGTATATAATAACATATATCTATATTACATATTATAATTTTTTTTATATTATTATTTTATTTAATTTATAATTTTCTTTCTGTTGAAATTCATTCATAAAAATTACTAACTCACTTCCGCCTCACATACAGCAAAAGTACTGCCAGTATTCAATTTGTGTAATTACTTTCGTGTAATACACAGCAGAGCAAATTGCCAGTTTTTGGCAATGAACTAAGAGAGAGTCAACGAAATAAAAATAAAAGGCAGAAAAGAAAATTATTTAAATATTTTGCACAAATTGCTCTCAGTCGCTTTGAAATCGTCGATGTGTTTGGTTGTGTGCATTTTTTGTGTCGGAAAGCTCGTGTTACGTGTTTACAAATAGCGTTTTTTAATAAAACTGAACGGTTTACTTTGAATTCAATCAGATGTACGAAACATATATAAGCAACATGCAATTTTGTGTTATCGGTAGAAGCTAAAATAATAAAAATCATATTGTAAATATTTGTGTACGCAATAGTTGTGCTAATCATTGTTTTTGTGTTATCAGAAATAAAAAAAAAATTAATTAAGCAAAAAAAGGAAATAAATAAAGAAAAATAATAAAATTATAACATAAAAATTCCAAGAAATTGCACTGAATAACACAAAAAATTCTGCTCAAGTGAGAAAAATATTTAATTGTGTGTAAAATTTCAATAAAGCAAGCAACATAAATAAGTAGAACGTAAACAAAAAACTCTGCAGACATTAAAAATTGAAAATTTTTATTTTTATGCAAGGTAAAATATATTAAACTTATTTATTTATAAAAGATAATAATTTTTATGAATTAAATGGGGTTCGCCTTTATTATTTATATTACAAAATGCCAAGTTTTTTATGTTGTCTTGCCTCATACACGTTTGTTTTTTACAAGATGCTATGCTATTGCCATTGCCGCTGCTGCTGTGCTGCTTCTCTTCCACTCGTTCTCTTTTAATGTCAAATACTTTAGTGGCAAATGCTCTCACATTTTAAATAAAAGAAAAACAACAAAAACAAACATAAAAAACAATATTGCAGCAACAAAACGGCGAATAACTCCGCTGTCGCTGCCACCGCCACCGCCACTGTTTTGTAAACAAAAATAGATTAAAAAAAAAAAGTAAAATTCAATAAAAATAAATTTAAACTAAAAACCCAATTTTATGGTTTATCTGTCGTTGCTATTTATTAGTTATTAATTAATTATTGCAACATGTAAAAATAAAACTGTTAACGAAGCTGAATTTTTGTGTTTAATTATTTATTGCATTGTTTTAATCGTGTATTTAGGGACTGGAGAGCTCTAAAGACCTCAATCAGCTTCGGTTGTCATATTTCTATCATGTCTCTGAAAGTGAATACCTAAGAACTGTGTATTATTTTTACCGTCGGTTATAAAGCTTGGTTCATATATAATTTAAACTATTAGGTGGATAGTTCTACGATTCCGGAAAACCCCATTTAGAAAATTCTAACTAAATTTAAAAGTGCTAGAAAGTCCACAAACACTTTAACATATTAAGTATGTTGAATCGTTTCAATAACAGTGTTCACTTACCTAGAGACTTCTAAAGCCCATATTCTGCTTTTGTTGCCATATTACTATTCAATCCTTAAGAATAGAAGAATAGAATTCACCATTGATTCGGTGGGTATAGTTCAGAGCTTTAAACAGTACATTCGAAAATCTTCTCTAAAGCTATAAATACTAGAAGGTCTACAAATAGCCTAACACATTAAGTGTATTAAATCGTTTCAATAGTGTAAACATAGAGTTACTTGAAGAACTCTAAAGACCACATTTTGCTTTGACTGTTTTGTTTCTTTCTGTAGTAATTTAGCGTCAATTGGGTAGGTATTGTTAAGATGGATAGTCATACACTTCATATTTGTAACTAATAATTGTCAAGATGGATAGTCATACACATCATATTTGTAACTAATAATGTTTGGTTACAAAATTGAAAATTATCACTAACTTTACCGATAGTGGAAAGTCCACAAATATCCGAACAAATGAAGTACATTAAATAGTTTGAATAGTATGTTTAATTACCTGGTGATTTCTAAAGACCACATTAGAATATATTCGTTAAATCGATAAGTACTAGAAAGTCCACAAACACTCTAACACATTGTGTTAAATCGTTTCAATAGTTGGTTCGTTATCTGAAGAGCTCTTAAGACTATATTCTGCTTTGATCTCTGTGCTGTTCCTTTTACATCTTTGACAGTTGGAGCTTCAGAAATGTGTAGTAATGTTACCGTCGGTTCGGTACATATATTTTAGATGAGTAGTTATAAAGCGATAATTTTAATGAGTGCAGATGAACATCTTCATAAAATTCACACTAACTCTGAAGGTGTTAGAAAGTTCACAAATACTCTAATAGATTTATATACATTATATTATCTATTCTTGAAGTAGCAAAAATCATATTCAAATACAATTTAAAACTTAAAGAGCGTATTTGAAGCTTGACTTTAACACTCTTTCGTATCTTAGCACTACAGCCTTAATAATATCTCATTATAAGTTCCGGATTTAGTAGCAGTTAGAGTGGTTTAATACGTCCTATATATAACTTTATCAACTCTAATGTTTTAGGATCGTTCTTTACAACATTTTGCAATTGGCTTTCTGGCGAATGTTTTAGATATCTAAAGATATATGTTATGTATACACTGTAGGTAATAACTTACATTATTAGAAACATGGCTGGTTGAATCATTACATTACTTTTAATGATTATAAAATATATAACATGTATTAGGTTATTTACTTATAGTAATGGTCTTATATCGAACACATAAAAATCTCATTCATTTTTATGAACACAAAAAAAATATATTTATATTTACAAAATTTGGTTTTTTATAATATCTCAGATCTCTTGTGCAGAATTTTTAGTTTAACACTATTAAGTGTTGAACTGATGAGATTGTACTCAATGTACAGTATACTTAGATACCTGAATAGATTCAGATGTGATGCTTATAAAACTAAAAGTTTGTCATCCAATATTAGCATGTATTTCATCTTTTTCTTACTGCAGATTCTAACTATTTCGATTTCGGTGATGATTTTAAGGATTCAAATTTATTATACCATACATTTATCTTCGTTGGTGGTGTTATAGTAGGAGAGTCGATATACCTGCGTTTACACACCATGAACCAACGAATGCTTTAGTAATAGGTATTCTTAGTGTTATTCTCTAAGAGTACAAAGTTTCATGTAAGATTAAATATAACGCTTATAATAAATTATCTATTTTTATATCAGAGCTGATGATCAAAGCCGAGAGAGAGTTTTTAAAAGTCATGATTATTTTGTTTTTACACAATTCTTTTATTTTTAAACTGATTTTATGTATTACCTTCTCGAAACCTTTTAAATTTTAAAACAAAACCCACTTCATAAACATTTAATACTATTATTATATATTACTATGATAAATCCAGTTGAGATTACCGTAATAAACTTAATACTAATATATTTATTACATTGATATTAATATAATCTTAATATTCGGATAACAGTAAATATAACATAGAAAATAAATCGGTAACTTTGTTCTTAAGCCTCTTTACGAATCTAATAATCTCTCTGATCATAGACTTAAAAAGTAACTCTTTCCGGCGTTAGGTGTTTTTAGTGCTATGATTCAATTCTATCTGATTACTTTTTGTAACCATAAACATTATTTTGTTGAATATTTAGTCCCCAGGGTTCTATCCTTTATCCTATAATAGTCCTATAAATAAATAGTC